TCTTCCTCGCACGACTTCCTTGTGGAATCGATTACCATCAGCGATTTTTCCGGACCGATACGACTTAGGGACCTTCAAGAAAAGAGCGTAATCCTTTTTTAAAAGGCCGGTAACGCATCTGCAATTCCCTCCCTGGTGTTGCAGTTGTTCATGGGCGGCGGTAGTCACTTACCATCAGGTGAGCCGCATGCTCGATTGCCTCCTCTCCTATAAAAAAAATGAATTCTTATAGATGGCGATATAACCATATAGTATACGCCGGACGCAAAAATATCTGAACGGCGAAGGGAAGTAGACTCAAATATACGAGACGCCTGGTACTGCAATCGTCAACAAGTGTGACGATGACGATTAATCATCACACTTTTTGATTTACCTTATTTATTTTTTATTTTATTTATTTAAAAACTTAAGTGTAAATGTAACACCTTAAGGTAAAGGGTACATAGGGCGGACTTAATGCCATGTGGCATTCTCTGCCAGTCAACCCTGGGTGCCAAAGAAAATTGTAGGCAGGTGCGAAACATAATACATAAATAAAGTGTGTTTATATTAAAATATAATATATACATAGTACATACAAACACAACATATATTTAAATATATGTATATATAATATATATTTACATACAATAATACAAACATACATATAGGTATGTATTGTATATACATGCTTATAAACTTTATAAATATCCGTATTAATATATAAATAAATAAATATTTGAATAAAGAAAAATGTCAGTTAGTAAGTGCCTTCAGGTAGTGTTGTCGTAAAAGTAATTTAAATAAGTTTCTATTTGTAGCATTTTTAATATTATCGGGGAGGGTGTTCCAAAGATGTATAGCTTGTATCGTAAACGCGGACCTGAAAAAATTAGACCTATGCTGTGGAAACCTTATCCTCAGACGGTTTGATTGTCGTGGTATTCGACTGTCAATCGAATGAAAAAGGTGAAAGTTATCCTTAAGATAAGAAGGCGACCTTGGATCGTTTAAAGTTGAATAAAGAGTAATGAGTAACAAGTAATATTCTAGAGCATCGCCTTTGACGCATAGGTAGCCATTTAAGCTTTGAACGATAGGAAGATATGTGGTCATACTTACGTAAACCGAAAATACACCTTATGGAATTATTAAGAAGGCGCTCCAACTTGTTTAGAAAATTTTGTGACAAATCTGGGTAACATACATCTGCATAATCTATAATAGGTAGAAGGGATTGAACAAACGTAAGCATGGTTTTGAAAGGTAGGAAATTTTTAAAACGATAAATGGAACGCAAGGTGGCAACAACTTTACGACTTACTTTAAAGATCTGCAATTTCCAGGTCATAGCTTTGTCCATGTACAAGCCAAAATTTTTTATAGAATCACAATATGGAATCAGAGTTCCATTATAAATTACAGGAGAGAGATTTCCATAATCAATCTTAGCCAATAATTGTGAACTTCCGAAGATTATAACTTTGCATTTGGCTGGGTTAACTGAAACGCCATATTTACACGACCATTCTTTTATAGCTTCCAGGTTATTATTTAGTTTATGTACTATACAGTTAAGATTATTTAAGTCTCACTGTACACAGGGCTGAAGATCATCCGCATACAGTTGGTACGAACAATCTAAAAATGAGGAGATAGAGTTTATAAATAAGGAAAACATAATAGGAGAAAGTATTCCGCCTTGCGGCACACCATATTCAATTTCAGCCCATGCAGAAAAACGCTGACCTGAACGAACCGATTGCTGGTGGCCGCGAATATAAGAAAAGAACCACTCCAAAGCTGAGGATTTAATTTAAAGTATTTAAGGATAGATAGGAGGTTACCATGATCTACCGTGTTGAAAGCGTTTGAAAAGTCAATAAGCGCTACCACTGTTAATTTCTGCTCATCCTTTTATAAAATTGATTTATAAAAGCGATCTTTTTCGGAAAGAATCGACATCCCTATTGACGATGACAATGACAATACAAAATAGCGTCAGTTTTACCGTAGGAATTGACATAAATTTGCAAAAATAATTGATTTTCAATAATTTTTTCTCAAAAAGTACGCGTTTCCGCATTTTGAAACTTTGCAAAACGCTTTCTTTTAGTGAGTATTATCTACAAAAAATATAGGCATTTAAATCGATGGTCCATATTGGAAATTTTAACCAGTGCAGCCTTCAGACGATCTTCAAATTCTGCTATCTTTTGCATCCAGCTGACTTCCAGTTCTTTCTGTATTTTGTCTCCATTGTATTGCTTGCCATATTGTAATTGTAATGTAACAGTGCTTAATGGTGGTAAATACAAGTGTTACTGATGGGTGATGCAGTAAGTTATTAAAGCCTTGTTTACATAGATAAATTATTATTTGAATACATAAAGACCTCTTTTCTTAAAGTATTTGTCGAAGAATTTACCCCTCACAATTCTACAAATTAATATAATTTAAAATATAAATAGGAGCTCTTAAAACAGCTGTTGACTTTCTACACCTACCCACAAAAAAAAGCCTTGAGGCAGTATCTTCTCCTTAAATCTGCTTTATAAAGTATCTAATGTCCTCCGTATCTCAAAGTAGACTAGCCATCTGCGTGGCACAAGATTATTGTGCTACATTGTATGCGCAAGCTCAAGTGTACTCTCTATTCCCTCATTTTCATACACCGATGGAACGGTTATCCGATACGATCGGAATGAGATCAGGCACAGGAATAACGTCTTTACGTGCTTTCCAACGCAAGGGAATGAAACACTGCCAATGTTTGATTCCGAGCTGCTACTGGGAATTTATGGTAATGATCTTAAACAAAACAAATCATCTATAACAACTAAAACTTTAAAAAAATCTGCGCTTACCAACCCGCCTGCCAAGCGTGACAAATATTAGCCCTATACAGCAATCTATTCGGGAGGCCCATGTTAGTAGTAGAATATTTGTTGTAACGGTAACTGTAAGTATTCTTGTAATCTACATAATATATCGAATAAAAATCATTCTATTATATTCTGTAGAGAGCCAGAATAGTTACAGGCTTCAAAGTGTTCCATCTAAAACCTCAGATGTGACATCGCATATAGCCTTTAATTTTTTTTTATTAATTTAGAGTTTAATTGAATTTTGTTGCAGGTATCCATGAACTACGGCAGCCACCTAGTTGGGCTGGAAATTCATTTGTCATTTCAATTTTATTAAGAAAAAGTAATCCATGCCAGATAGGGCATCCAACCGGTTAAATTTATAGCGGCGCTCACATACCCGGTCACTAGTTGCGTTAGAATATTCGTGTAATAAGTCCCATAGAAAGAATGATAAGATGTTCACATTCACAGAATTATATTATATTATTCAAAGCGGATATCATTACATCGTTTTCACAAGTCCACTGCTGGTCACAGCCCTCCCCCAAGTATTGCCACAAAACACGGTCCTGAGCCACCTACATCCATTGACTTCCTCTATGACTTACTAGGTTGATACTCCATCTAGTGAGAGTTTGTCCTACACTTATAGGTATGGTGCTGCTACTCGAGAACATTTAATCCCCATTGTTTTATTCGGCATCGGGGATATTATATCATGGGCTTGAAAAAATGTTACAAATAGGTACCTGCGGAGTTTCTTTCGCCATCTCTCCTTCGGACAAAGGAACGTTATTTTTAAATTTTGATTTCATCTGCCGGATGTTATGAGTTTGATTCCCACGGATAGTTTCTTTTATAAAGTAAGAGTCATAAACGAGCACATAGTCCATTTTATGGTAAGTGGATAGTATGCTCCGTAGATATCAACATTTTTATCCTCAATAAAGAATCAAAATGCAAATGTGTTGTCACCCCTAAGGAATAAGATGAAATGCCTCGTATTAAGTAAAAAAGGTCTCCGGTTCCCTACACTGACCATACCAAACATATCAGCATTGAAAATTTACGCTGGTATTCCGTGAGAGCGTGGTCCCTTCCCGGTCAAGCCATCCAATTCATGCTAGAACCATAATATAGAGGCAGCGTGGCTGTACCACGTTTAAATGAAATGAGATAATATACGCTTTTGCTTACAAAAAGTACTAAGCTATTATTTTATTTTTATTTACAATACCGTTTTAGGTACTAACGAAGTTAAAAGCAATTATAAAAACGTTTAAATTTGCTCGTTTTTCGTTCAAAATAAACACCGCCAAAACAATCCAATCGACGCAAACTATTGGTTTTCGATTAAGCCATTACTACTAAACTTGACACTATACAAAAACGAAGGCGCAATTTTGATAAGGGATCGCCGTTTGAAAACATTGAATTTATTAGGAACATGAAAATGGAAGACCTGAGGCCTTTTATGGACAAAGCGAAAATTTAGTTTTTATGAATAGAAAATTCATAACTCTTATTTTATCATAAATTTTTTGTCCAAAAATCCAGCTTGTTGTAAATTGCTGTGAAAGCTGAATTGTGAATGTGGTCTCTCGTACATAGGACAAACAAAAAGATCTATAAAAACCCGCGTTAAATAACATATAGCTGACGTGAAGCACCGACGAATCGGGAAGTCTGCAGTTTGTGAACATGTTCAAGATCGTTCTCGCCGTTACATTAGATTTGATAAACCAAAAATCCTCGCAAAAGAACACCGATTCCTCCCAAAGATAATTCGCGAGGCTATTGAAATTAAAAAACATCCTAATTTCAATAGAGAGGATGGATGTGTGCTGCCATCTGCTTGGGGTCCCATAATTAATAAAATCAAATCAAAACCCAAGTATACCACTGCTAGACTTCTAGATAATGTAAGCTCATTCTGCGTAAATCGAACCAAAAATTAATATTAAAAAACTGAAGGTAGCCGGGCTAACTATGACATCAGGACATCAAACACCTCAGTCCCCCGTGACGTCGGGAATATAAAATAAGTTAATATACGCGATAAAATGCGTAAAATTACTTTTATTTAAAAGCAAAAAGTTACATTTCAGTACAATACTAGAATGCAAACCTCTCTAGAGGTTTATTTACGCCAGAGTGTTAAAGAAAAAAAAAAGATTTGTATATTTATATTATACATAATAGTCCATTTTAATATATTAATATTAAAATGTAACATGGACTGAAATATGTATGATCTATTTACCAAATAATATGATATAAGTTTACTTTTAAACAATTATTATACATTTTATGTGACTCTAATGGTAATTTATTGATAAAATATGTACAAGGTGTGTTGGCCCACTCTCTTGCTTCATAGAACTTATTAGCCCTCATACACATATTTTGAATGTATATGTTAAATTTTGTAGATTTGCAGGAATTTTTCTTGTAACTAGGTTTTTTGAATTATTTACTGCAGTCAATATGTAAAATTTAACATTATTGAATACATTTATGACTGCAATAACTAAGAAGACATTGGTAATTATCTATATTATACTTATTTATAATATGTGCTAGGATGCTGTCAAGTGAAGCATTTTGCGTTGTAATTTGTAAATTTACTGTATGTGCCTTACAATGACTCTTCCATAACCGCAACCGCCTTTTCGGTGGCTAAAGGTTAGTGCGTTTTTAGTTATTATAAGCCAGTGTTTGACTACAATCATATCTTGTTGTAAGCGTGGTGAATCTTTTGATGGTAAATCGGAAACTTTAAACGTAAAAAAACCTATTTACTCTGAATGGTAAGACAGATGCTTGCAAATTATTCCATTCTTTTGCTTTACGTATTACGAAGTAATATTTTATTAAGTCCCTGTCCTATTATCATTTTATACATACCAATATAATTGAAAGAATACAAAAGATATTCCTAAGGTCACTTAATTAAACAGTGGTAGAGCCACGCGGCAGCTTTTGCTGTCGCACGGATGGGCCGGCTCGAACCGGGGTGGTACCACGACCTCACAGAAAACCAGCGTGAAGTAGAGGTTTACTTCTGCGTTTCGCTTGGTGAGTGCAAGTGGCCGGAGGCCCTTTTTACTGGAAATGACGCATTCCATCTTAGTCCTCACGGGTGACAACGCATCTACATTTTGATTTGTAATAGAGGATAGATGTAGATGTCTATGGGCCGCAGCAACCACTTACCATCAGATGGACTGTGTGATCGTTTGTCACCCTTTTCCTATAAAAAAAAATCACTTAACTATCGTAATAACATTACATTATTAAAGTTTTAGAATATATATAACATTTAAAATAGTTTTTGCAAAATATCCATTGAAATCAAAGCTAAAATAACATCTAAAATTCTATCACTAGCCGCTTGCGTGATTATTGAACGTTCTCAATGTAAATTGTTATGAGGCGTGCATAACACTCATGAACCGCAAACCTCTATGATGGAAATTTCAAGCCTAAGCGTTTCGCAATACACACGGAAGCATAGAATTCATATAAATAAGATTATAGGATTTTGGAAATTTACACGACACAAAATTTACGTTTAAAATTGGACGCTAACAATTTTCGGCATTACAGTATAGTGCATAATTTTCTATATAAGATGTTAAATGAAAGGTATGCCCTTGACTATACTGGATTCTCCCTATAGCACAAATTCTATCCACGTACCGGAGTGTGTGTACGTCCATAGTGACATCTGCTTCCAGCGTCTCCATTACCTTAAATACCTCTCTTTTTCGACAATCTGGGTAATGGTAGATACAGGTATTGATAAAATACCTGTGCCTATGGATCACACAGCGGTGACAAGGAGACAACTCGATTATTTGATCAATTTAGTGAGGCTGCTGATGCAGAGGGCGAATGTAATGAATGTGTTTAGATATCCTCCAACCTGAACTTCGGAAGGTTCATTGAGTTCAAGAACAAAGCAGCTGCAAGAAGGCTAGGAGTTCTTGCAAAGTTGCGCGGTATTTCACTCCGGGGCAGCTACGTGCTCTATATAACCAGTCTTTTAGTTTTCTACAGAATGCATTATATAGAGTGTGCGCAGGAATTGCATAACTTAATTCCCCCTCTTCCTCCCAACCTCGTACAACGAGACGTTCGGCCAGTCGTGGAGACTGGCCTTTCGTTGTTAACCTTCCATACATTCAAACCAAATGGTTTGCTACATCGTACGCCAGCATGTCCTTCAATCCGATTACAATGTGGATGTCTTCTAGGCAAGAGCACCATCTTACGAGTATGCTACATAACCACTTACCATCAGGTGGGATGGTAGATAAGCGCTGAAAACCTGAAAATTAAAGAAAAGAGCAGCCGATGTTCATCTGCCATAAACTTCAAAAAAAGGAGTCTACTGTTGTATTTTCACCCTTAATAACTAACATGGAATGCCTCATAGAATGTAATCAAACTGGTCCTATACGCTTCCGAAAGAAACAGCAACGTACGTACTGTTGCTTGGCAGCAAAAATATGTAAAATTGCGGTACTTACACAGATAGGCTTTTAGGCAGAGAAGAAGTCGTACGCAGTAATATATTAGTAGTATATTCATTTTTCTTTGGCTTCACGAATTAAATTTAGTAGAAATTAGAGGTTTTTGTGATACAATGTTGGAAACAGAGTCAGCAAAACAGAGTTCGCACAGAACTCACTCATGCTCCGTTGCGCACGTACTATAAATTTTACAAAATAAAGGAAATGTTTTAAAGAATTTTAACAAAGTTTTAGTAACTGTGTGCTACCACTAAATTTTAAGCGACTAAGCCGTTACGTAGGCGCTTTACTTGTAAACATATCGCACCATATTATGTAAACGGCAACTACAAGTACATAGAAGCATAATGAGTTTTAAATACTATTAATAGTATTTAAGTCACAGTCACAGTTCATTGATGTATTAGTGCACAAAAAACCAGGGGACGTGTAGAGCCATGCTGCAGCTATATTATGGTTGTAGCAAAATGGGTCGGCTCCGCTGGGGAAAAACCACACTCTTAAAGAATACCAGGGCAAAGTAGCAGTTCAATACTGCTGTATTTCTAATGGTGAGTGTACAAAAACTGAGTTTCTTTGTACTAGAAATGAGACATTCCATTTTAGTCATCAAATGTGACAACGCATCTTCATTTTGATTCTCAATCGAGGATAGATGTAGATGTTAATGGACCACATCATCCATGGATTGTGTGCTCGTTTGACACCCTTAATTAAAAAAAAAACATTTTTGTGAAAGTTTATACATTGCTCATTCAATCAAATTCTTATTTCTAGTATAAATTTCATTCAAGTATTTAAATATCAAAAAAAAACCCTTTGACGCGGCGTCAATCGTAACGAAATTTGACATAATGATAACATTTTAGCAGCATTGCTATTTTACGCTAAGTGAAGGTAGATCGCTTATTTTTCTATTTTTACACGAGTTGATAATTTTAATCAAAGCTTTTTGTTAATTAAGCTTAATACCATATCTAACATAACATTTCTTGACATTTTTAATTTCACTTAAACGCTGAGAGATATGTTCTCATTAAAATACTACATGTAAGAGATTTTTAAAGTATTTCAATATTAAATTCCATATTACGTATAATATATACGTGCCTCTCTGAAGTAAAGTAACTGTAGGGGTGTCAAATTGACCCAATTTTTATTTTTATTTTTGATTTACTTACAGTCCATCTGATGATCATGGCTATAGCAGTGTATAACAACTATATTATATGATAATTGTTTTTTATATGTTTATTTTTAAGTTATTTTTGTTTAACCAACTTCAGAGATATTTTTGTTGATTGTGGTTCGGTAACAATTTTTATTTTCCCACATTGCATTGTTTCCTGTCATCAAATTAGCTGCGTAGCCAGTCATATACTTTACGCCATATAGCATCATTTTTTTAATTTATTAAGAGGCTTTTTATAGTCAACAAATTCAAAAGGTTTAAGCAAGTCAAGGATGATCGAAAACCGTGATTCAGTTTCAGTAACAAGTATAACTAGGTTAAAACAAGGTAATGTCGTGTAACTTCCCTTTAGAAAACAAAATTGTTGTGCCTTGTAAACATTACTTTTTGAAATATTTTAGATAATATTGGAATAATTGCAATCGGCCAATAATAATTAACACTCATTCTATCCCCTTTTTAGAACAATGGTTTAATCTCAGAAATTTTTAACTGTTTAGGAAAATGATCATGTTCAAAGGATAAATTTATTATATGTGAAATTGGTCAAGACAAATTAACAGCGCAGAGTTTAAGCATTCTAGTGGTGATGTTATCAGGACCCCTAGATTTTTTGTTTTATAAGTGCATAATTATACTATAAAGGAGATAAATTATTTTTGTTTGGAGAATGGACCTACCATAAATTTTAGCTACACTTATGCCCAAATATTCGAACGCTACTCAATTTTAAGATGTTGTTAAGTGTCGTACTGTCTCTATCACTTTAAGTCAAAGTGACAGTGACATCACGATATTTAACGACGTCTTACAATTGAGTATGTAGCGTTTGAGTATTTGGTCATTAATGAAATGCATGCCGATTTATTTCTTATAATCTATTTATTAAAATAAAGTAATGGTAGTTTTACGTAATATAGGTGAAGTACTGAGAAAGTAGGAAATAAAATATGAATCTTACTGTAACCTAAAACAATTGCAAAACAAGCGATTGTCTATTAGTATTCAATGGTATTATAATTTAAAATTGTGCACTGATCAATAATAAATAGTATAAAGCAATTACATCTTAATCCTATATATATATATATATATATATATATATATATATATATATATATATATATATATTGTAGTTTAGTACAGCCCCCACGACTATAGTGTTAAGGTAGAATAAGGACATTATAATTAAAGTTATAGAAGCATCAACACGCCTCTATTTCATTGAAAGATTTCCTATATCACATGGCGACCCTGCCAGGCGGTGCGCTGCTACATTGCACGCGCACCGCCGGGCCTGCATAAAGAGAAAAAAAAATTACAAAAAAAAATGGAAATCATCATGGATTGACCATTTAAAAAAGAAAATTATAATATAACAGAATGGACGCAATACCGGATGTGACGAAAAATAAGTGAATATGAATAAAAGAAGAGGCCACAATAATAATTGTATAGAAGCTGACT